TTAAGATGAGTTAGTTTTGAAATTAGAATTCACGTTACCCAATAAATATTGTTCGAAGTCGTCGAATGTGTGTGTGCACGTCATTCATCGGTTGATCATGTCACTTGATCATGCAAAACTGTTCAAAATTTGCTCTTCAACGCCATCAAAATTCTCACAGATAGCCAAGAATCAGTACGGTCATTGAGGCAATCACCAGCAGAAAGCAGGAATCTGGTTCGTGAACGAACAACTGTGAATCTTAATAGTGAGATATGAGATAATACAGCTTCACATGATAATTTCAGTAATACATGTGATGTGATTGAGTAGATTGTAATACATGATTGTGCATCTAGCAAGACTTCGAGGACTGCGATTTCGGAAACCATTAAAACGAGAATCATTAGCGATGAAAGGAGAAAAACACGAAAGAATGAGGAGGATACAATAAATTTATGGAGATTTTACAATGACGAAAGTAACAAATTTTTATTCTGACTACTGATTGCGTAAACTTGAGTAATTCAAGCGTTACAGTAGTCAAATTTTTGTTACTGAACAGTATTAGAAGAATCATTATGCATTTTCACGAAATTTTATTTATTGATGATGAAAACTGATTTTGGATAATATTCATTTGGTTGGTTATTCATCAGTGTTAACGGAAGTGTGCCAGGGCAGAAGCTGCTCGATCGCATTTGACCGATTGCGAGCAATTTGCCGGAATCGTATTCCATTGATCGCGCTTCTCCGTACTCCCTGCGAAAGAAATATTCTTTTGGAGTGTTGTCGACCGTGAAAGGCGCTCTGATGTGCTGATGGCATCGTCGCAAAGATCCATCGGTGAACCGTGTGCATTTTTACCGAATCGACCGGGTGAACCTTACTTTCAACTGCGACTCGTACCGGATCGGATAGTTTTTCGAGGAGAGCGATTGAGTGAGGTGGCAACAACCGTTGAAATGCAAATGATAAACCTGACACAGCATCGCCAATGCTTCAAGGTTGATGAACGCTTAGAATATGCCCTTAGAATGAGAAAAAAATTTCGATTCTCCTATAAATGTGTTACACTTTGATCTATATTAGCTGTCACAGTACTATTATTTATGATATTCAGGTGATCAATATCCTGAGATATTCAAGCAGCAGCCATGATGAGATTTAGTAATAATCCACTTGTTTCAAATGACTACTTCTAGTTTTTAAGGAATGCATCGAATTAAAGTTTCCATTTTTAGCCATCACGGCTAAATAATTTAAAAGTTGCCAGCAAACCCATAGTACCAGTAGGGATTTGGAGAGAATTTCAGCTTCATTCAAATAACAAAATGATTTGGAATCATTTATTTTCCGTTCATTCATATTCGAGCAATTTCACTTGATCAAGTTACTGTACGAATTTCTGTTATAGATCAAATGCACCTCAGTGGAAATCTTTCGTGTTCGACCACCGTTGGGTTTCTTGAACGGTGGTGAGACGATACCAATTCGAATCACCTTCTTCAGTAAGCAAGTACCGCAAACTGGAAAACATTTTTTCGTCTTCTATCATATTGCAACGAATGAGGTTCGTGTTATGCATTAAGCAGTTGAGAATATCGTTTAAGTGACTGAGCAAATTCTATTTGGGCAAAACTTAGCCGATGTTCATAGTTAACTTCTCGTAATCCTCTCATAAACCACATTTTCCGTTTCGTTTGGCAACAGAACAAGTGAGAATAATTCATACCGAAATGAAATCGCCTTTTCAAGTCGGTCACTGTGAAAAATGGCGAACAACTGACGAACAATTGGGACCGTGTTATGTTTGTTTGATGCATTTGAGGCACCTTTATCATTTTAGAAATCACCTGTAATGTTAGTTGCTTTCAGAAAGCACCACCTCGTCAAATATGGTCTCACGTAACAAAACCAGACGGTGTATGCCGAGTTTTGTGTGCTTTCGAACGAGACGACGGCGCTCAGGCGGTTGTTCCGGACGTGGCGCCTAGGGGCGCTGAAACGAAACCACTCACACCGATCCATAAACCAAGCACTAATAGCAATTCAGAGAAACGAATGGATTCATCAACCGCATCCGGCCGTGTGAAATCATCCGAAAAAGCATCTCCACCACCTAAAAATCAGCTTTAAAATCGCTCGTGATGGCCTAATTCTAGACTCCAGAAGCATCGCAGTATGCTGGAATCACTTGTCCATACGATATACTTTCATTGGCTCAGTCATATATCTTTGAAATTTAGTACAATGCCTTGACAACACGTGTACTTAGTGATCATAGAGAATTTTTGGACAACACAAATACTCCTTGGACAACACACATAGTATTCCGATAGTGGAGAATCTCTTCTATCCAATCGTGGCAAGAAACCATCTTGTTGTTGGATAAAGCTCAGAATCAGTTTAGCTTGATTATTAAACTCGCAGTATTCCTATACTAGTGCGCTCTTGATCACTTTATAGATCAAATGCACAGTGTTTGGCAGAATATTGGAATGGCTGTGCCAGATTTCTAGGCATTCCGATGCAGTTTCAAGGCTACATATAGTTTTTTTTGCAGATCTATTATATAGCCAAATATAGTTCCTGCTGAGAATATGATGCAAGATATCCGGGCATATTTCTGTAAGTAAGCAAAATCATTCGACAATACGCGTTGTTTTCTGGAAGCGGAGAATCTGTTCTATCTGCTGGATCTAGACTTGCGTTGATGCGCATTTCTTTACTGCTTTTGAACTTTCGAATACATTAACTGTATCCTGTACTTATAACAGGACCAATGGTAACAAACATAATGTCCAAATTGATCAGTCTCAGTAATATTACTCTTTTCAATCTGCGAACATATCCATCTTGAGAAAAAAATTATCCTCATCTGTTTAGAATCAATTGTTTTTGTTCTTTATACATATTTGTTGGCTCTATTTTTAGAGTTTAATATTTGATGCGTTCAACATCATAATTAGATTGTTTGTTGAAGTTGCGTTATTTGTTGCGATATAATTTCAACATTTTGTTCATGTATATGATTTGTGTTGTATAATTTGAATTAAATTTATTAATGTGGGCAAATTTTTATGCATCAATTAATCATCAATTCAGTTTCGAGAGTGCTCCTCTAGTTTAGCTTTTCGCTGCAATTTTATTTTTATTTAGGCAAATCACCTACATGTACTTCGTCGGTCAGATATCCACCTCTTTGATGAAAACAGCGATTTGTTTTGCTTCAAGAACTACTCTCATATTGATGTTCATCTGCTCAGAAGATTGATCCACTTTCAGTGTAATATACTTTAAATTATTATTAAAATATACTTTAAACTTTAAATTATGTTTATCTATTCTTAAATTCAGTAGTTTAGAAAAATAAATTTAAAATGTACACTATTAGATTGATGTCGGATGGATGTAGTGGTGAACTTGCAGGATTATCAATTGTGAAATTCTGCAGTAGAATGGATAGAGAAGATCGTATTGCAGATCGAACATCAGATGAGATTTATTTACAAGTTAATGAGATTTATGAGATGAGATTTATTTATTTACTAGTTAAATTTATCCTATCCACTAAAATTTAACCAATGTCGCAAAGTACAGTTAGTTGGTTGGATTATTAAAATCTGCAACATTCGGTCTACAAATGCCAATCAGCTAATACCTAATCATCAAGTGGTTATGTACAATTTAGAGCAAAATTGATCGATCTTCAACTGTCGATTGATCTTCTAGTTTGAATTGTTCTTATTTAGCTGTACCTCCATCGTCTGTCTGCAATAAGTTTCCGAATGCAAATGATTATCGGTTACTTTCCGTATAAAATTTCATTTTGTAAAAAATTCAAACTAATGTCAGCTAATAGAGGTCAATTTTGTCAGCACTATCCTTATCGAATTGCTGTTTTAACACGTGGTATTGCACCACTCAAAATTTCCATATCAAACTGAAAGTGATCAACTGTCGATCAGTGATACGATAAGAAAAATGCGGGAATTCCGTGAATAATGAGTGCATGTCAAGGTTGTTCATACCTTATCTGGTGCTTCGTCAAGATTCGTTTTTAACTTTGATTTATCAGCATCATCATCTTTACTTTCCTGAAATTTGCAACACTCACATTCGCGTTGTGTCAGAGTTTGTAAGTGTTTGAATGATACATTGAGATGTTTTCACATTTGGAGAGTAGGTTCAAGATTAAATGGAACATTCACTCTTAACAGCAAAATATTTCCGTCTATGATGAAAAACGCTTTATCTTCTTTTAGAATTACCATTTTTGAATCATTTGATCGGGTGTTTGATTAATTCAACGACTGGAATATAAGTGAGGTAGTAGTTGTTAAATGCATCCAGTCGAGCATGATTTGGGATAAAGTGTTATAAGAGTCAATTTGATTCTTAACGATCTTATGAAAACTTGAAGGTTTCTATTTGTAGCAAATAAATTTTTTCAATGAAAACTGGTTGGTTTTTGGAAGCAAAACCTTTTTCTCTTTATCAGAATCCCAATCGCTAAGCACATCGTCCATAGTTGGGTAGTCACCTTTGCCCCTCATTTCTTTTCCTTTCGCAATTCGTTCCTTGAAGAAACATTTGACGTTTTTTTACAAGCAATCCATTTGTTGCATTGGTGTGAAACAATGGCCAAAGGGATATGACCTATCGCAGGATGTCTACCTACAAATCATTCTGAGGCTATGCAGTTGAATGCCTCCAGCGAAGTGGCCATTCAATCATCTCTATGCGCTTTACTCTTCTCTCATCACATTATTCTAAGATTACACTCTACAATTCGAGGATGATCACGATCTTTGGCTGCAAAAAGAACACACATTCCTTTCTGTACAACCGAAACTAGTTATTGTTTAGTGCTAACTAATAGCACCAGCAGATATAATCGCTCATTTGATGTGTTACGATCATTTGCAGTTTCGGATCGGATTATTTGGTAAAAGCGTTTCTCAACGATGACATATTAAAATGCTGAAGCATTATGAGGAAAACATGAACATGGAATATTTTCGTGTAAGTATCAAAAGATTAGTTAAAGAATGCATTTTGCTTGACGAAACATGAACAGTGTGTGATTTTGATGTTGCTTAAAATTAGGTTATTTATAATACTCATTGCTGAGGAAATGATCACGTAGGTTCAAGATTAAATGGAACATTAACTCTTAACAGCAAAATATTTCCGTCCATGATGAAAAACGCTTTATCTTCTTTTAGAATTACCATTCGTGAATCATTTGATCGGGTGTTTGATTAATTCAACGACTAGAATATAAGTGAGGTAGTTGTTAAATGCATCCAGTCGAGCATGATTTGGGATAAAGTGTTATAAGAGTTAATCAGTAGGTACGTTACCTCTTTAGCGTTTCTTGCCATTATTTTTGGCTTCAAATTTGCTTCTTTTTGTTTAGCGGCCTCTTTTTCCTCAGCTGATTTCTCTGTAGAATTACAAGGGCATATACAGTCTAATTCTAAA